GCCCCGGTTCGCATCCCACATATGAGGGCCAGTGACACTGCCCTCCACAGCTAAGACACTGAACAACAGCTCAACCTGGAGCTGGGCTGCCATGAGTCGCCGTCCTCCACAACTAGACTGAAGAACAAAAGAACAGCAACTTGTCTGTTCCCCTTCCCCCAATTCCCCAATAAAAATCTTAAAAAAACCCAAAAACCAAAAACAAATGTGCACTGTCCTGAAGGTGGCCTAAGAAGCTCAATCTAAGCCTTGTCCTGGGGCTTGGGGCACTCAGAGAGGGGATCTGGGAAGCTCTATGGAGGGCAGGCTGGATGAACCCACAAGGCTGTCCACATTATTACTTTTTTTTTTTCCAACTTAAATACCCTCATGATACTATACTACCATCACCACCATCCATCTCCAGAACTGTTCATCTTGTAAAACTGCAACTCTATCCCCATTAAAACACTAACTCCCCATTTCCCTCTCCTCCCAGCCCCTGGCAACCACCATTCCATCTTCTGTCTCTATGATTTTGACTAAGTGCCTAATATAAATGGAATCGTATAGTGTTTGTCCTTTTGTGACTGTGGCTTATTTCACTCAACGTAACATCCTCAAGGTTCATTCACACTGTAGCATATGTCAGAATTTTCTTCCTTTTTAAGGCTGACTAACATTCCATTGTGTGTACGTATACCACATTTTGCTTATGTGTTCTCTATCTGTGGATAGACACTTGGGTTATTTACACAGGTTAGCTATTGTGAGCAATGCTGCCACGACCATGGATATACAAACATCTCTTTTAGATCCTGCTTTCAATTCTTTTGGGTATATACCCAGAAATGGGATTGTTGGATCATGTGGTAATTCTAATTTTAATTTTATGAGGAACTTCCACACCGTTTTTCACAGTGGCTACAGCATTTTACAGTCCCACCAACAGGGCACAAGGGTTCCCATTTTTCCACATCTCGTTAACACTTGTTATTTTCTGGGTTTTTTTTTTTTGATAGTAGCCTTCCTAATGGGCGTGCGATGGCATCTCATTGTAGTTTTGGTTTGCGTTTCCCTAATAATCAGTGATGTTGAGCATCTTTTCACATGCATAATGGCCACCTGTATATCTTTTTTGGAGAAATGTCTATTTAAGTTCTTCACTCATTTCTGAATTGGGTTGTCTGTTTTTCCACATTATTTATTTATCAAACACCTACATAATGCCAGGCACATCACTGTGTTAGCCCTAATAGCCCACGAGACAGGGGCTGGTTTTCTCAGAAGCCGAGATACACTTGCCCAAGGTCACACAGCCATAGGATATGGACTGGGGAAACCTGGTGCCCGAGTTCATGTGTGCAATTTCTAGGCACTGTTGTTGTATGAAGAACCCTACTCCCCTAGTTTTCTCCTAATCCTCTGGAAAGCCCTGGATTAATTCTTCTCTGCCACCTGAGTGGTCACTTGGGGTCAAAAAGAACCCTTAGAGTTGAAAGCAAGATGGCAGGTCCAGGAGAACTGATATGGCCCTTACCTGGGAGGCAGCCCATAATGCTCTGCATGTAAGAAACCTGGGGCTCCCACTCCCCAAGACGGCCAGAAACACTTCCTCTAGGGCTGTAATTGTTTGTTCCATTCGATGTATTCTCTGCAAGGAATTTCGGTGGGAATGTACCAGAATACACAGGCATAAACCTTGACGACATGTGAGCAGTTATTTTGAGGTGATGTGTCTTGAGGACTCTATGCCCAGGCAGATTTAAAAATAAGCAGGTTTCCAACATGTAAGGATGGGCCAATCTCTGAGGTTATTGAGTAAAAAGTCAACACTGTAAAGTCAATTACACTATTGACAGATACTCTTACAAGGAGATTTCACATCATAATTATATGCAAAGGAACCCAGCAAATACAAGCTGTGTAATGATCAGCTAATAAAAGTAACACTTCATCTATGTCAATAACGGTTTCAGAGTTAAGACAAACAAACATGGCCTTTGCCACTCAGTGGAGAGGAAAAAAAAAACACCCTGAAAGACAAATATTTTCACTTAAGGAGAAGTCGCTTAGACTCACACAGAAAACTTGTCACACAAAGCAGACTAGGAAATTGGTCTTTAGTGGGTGATAATGACTCTGACCCTCCCTCTGCCCCAGCTGAACTGACAGGGGCGGCAACCCACATAAACATTTGAACACTCCCAGGCACCCTTGGTCACTGCCACATGGTCGTCTGGCAGGCGACGTTTGCTGTTGTTTTATTCTCTGTGAGACTGTTTTCTTTTTAACCTCAGCTGAATTGGGTTCAACTGACATATGGCCAAATTAAAAAATATTTAAACTGCAATAAATGTGAAAGAACCACACAAGATCCCCCCCCACCCTCCAAACGGTTCTGCATTTTACACAAATACCCACGTAGCTAGGTTTATGGTCATTCTTTCGAAAAGCATCTGAGTGCCTACTAGTTGCCAGGCATTTGAGACGTAAAAAGGATAAAGGTATTAAAAGCAAGGGTCCTTGACCTTACAGAGCTTGCAACACAGCTCTCCCCAATTTCTCTTAAAACTGAGGTGGGTGGTACAGAATTTGGACAGTGTGCTGGGAGAGTACGAGGGTTTTCTTTACTGGTTATCTCTGTCTGTGCCAATGGCAGCTAGTCTAGTTTCTGTAAACTGTGGTTGTATATATTTTACCAAAATAATTCTGCTCAAAACTCCTAAGATACTCAACGAGGTCACTCTTAGACTATGCATGCGTTTGTAGCGGGCAGTCTTTGGGCGAGCTGTGCCATTATGAAGCTCCTGTCACTCAGCCCAAAGCTAGCCTTCCGCAGTGCTTCCTATGATGGGGCTGGGGCTGGGCTGTGTACGCCATATTTCTGCCCTACCACCTGGCTCCATGTTGGGCTTGGACAACAGTGGGTGCCACAGAGACTGGGAAGGGGTGGAGGAAGAAGGGACACGCTCCGTCCTGTGCTTACGGCTCCTGTATCACCCCAGCAATGCCTCTTCACCTTAGGCAGTTCATTCCTGTAGTAGCTGCTGAGTTCACTTGGCGGTTCTTCCAACACTTGGAGAACCAACGTCTTCATGTTCCCGTAGGGACACTTGTGCCAGCAGGAGCCCTCTCCTTAGAGAGCCCTCTGGTCCCTGCACACGTCCCTCCTCTGAGCTCAGAGATGCCAGCCCACAATCCGCATGTGAAAAGAGCCTACGGCCTCAAAGTCTTCTCAACCAAAAAGGTAAACGGAGAGGTGAGGTGGAAAAGATTTTTTAAGAAACAACGGAAACCAGCATATGTCTCTCCTAATGCGAGGCAAAGGGATGAATAGTTTAGCTTCATGAAAAGGCTTACCATTTAGGAACTCAAGAATTACTGATCTGAGGGCAACAAGGAAAAAGGTACTGGAGAAGTACAAGACAAAGACCCTTTCCATATATTTTTTGCAAAGTATCACCAAGTCAGGTTAGCTGACACGATTAATAGTTTTATAATTCTAGTCAATTCTAGTGATGCTCTTATTCCTACAAACGTCCCTCCTTATCAGGTTCCAGACACCAGTGTCTGCCCTGAAGATCAACCGACTTCTATTCCTGGCAAAAGTAAGTTGGTTTCTGGAAGAGTTTAAAGACACAAGCGAGTGGACCTTGCATCTCCCTCAGGCCCCAGCTAAACAGACTTTCTGGGTTGGTTTCCTCTGGGACATGAAACACTATGAAAGCAAAATGGCTTTCAGGTGAGAACTTGATCCCTAAATGCAGAAAAAAATCTAGGAGACGATGCTGTGAAGGGGTGCAGCTCAGTGTCACAGGTGTTTTCTAAGTGAGTAGCTTGGGCCCAGCACTGTGCAATGTGATAAGACATCAACCAAATGGTTGAGACCCAGGCCCTGCCATCAGCCAGCAAACTACTGAAGATGGGGGGGGCACACAGAGAAATTTTACCATATAGGGTCACCCATCAAAGGCACACAACCCGAACACAGGGCTCAAAGAAAAGAGAACTTCATCTGATGCCTGGCTCAGAGGCCATGTTCAGAAAAGCTTCATGAAGAAATCCTTTTTGTGATGGGCTTTGAAGGAAGTACTGCCTTGTGTGTGGAAGCTGAGGGAAACCCATATGGAGAAAACTGTGTAAGGTGGGCAAATACTGGACTTATTTGAGGAAGAAATTTGGCTCCAGGAGACGGGAGGATGGGGCAGGAGGGGGGATGTCAGGGTGATGTAGTGAGAGTCATGGAAGGTGCTTCTGCAGACAGCTGGAGAGGCATATTTAGGTGCTCAGACCGGCAGTGGCTGGTGGATGGCTGAGAGTGGGCAGAGAAACAGCAGGGCAAATAGAAGGAGGCAGCCACGCTGGCCCTTGGGAGGGTTCTAAGCTAGTGGTGGACCCTCACCCGGGGCTGGCAGTGGAGATGGAGTATGGAGGAAAAACCTTTTCCGAGGAAGGGTTCATGTGGTTTGGCAAGTGAGCTGATTCTCAGAAGCGGGGAAATGATGCACCTGTTATTTTTATACCACATACCAAAATACTTTGCACCCATGGTTTTGCATTTGATTTTCACTGCAACCCCTTCTAGGAGGCAGAGGAGTTTCACAGAAGAGGGAACTGAGGCCCAGAGTGGTTAGACATCCACCCCAAGTCACAGGACTGGTGGGTGACAGGGCTGCATCTAGAGCTAGACCATTAGCCCAGCACCGAATGAATAACTACCTTGCCCACCATTTCCTTCCATCTACCTTACCTCACTTTGTCCTGATTAAAAAAAATCTTACTTTGCTTTGTCTACATCTCATCTGCAAGGAGGAGATCAGGATAGTTTGACGGCCCGAGAAGAAGCTGGCATTTGGACTGGGGTCCCTGGAGTTACTTTAACTTTTTAAAATACCCAAACCAGGTTTGTCTTCACTACTTAGAGGCTGGTCCTCTCCATCCCGTCAAGTGGCTCCGTGGGACACACAATGCCCTTCCCAGTCCTTAGGCAGGCTTTGCCCAGTGAGCGCCTCCCTTACCTCACGGTGGCCGTCATTCCAATGGGAGTGATTGGCAATGGCCGGACTCCAGTAAACAGCCCTCGGCTCAGAACCCGCGTTCCATTTTGTATCACTCCTGGAGGAACTGGAAAAGCAAAAGGGAAAAGACACCACGCGTGAATTCAACTGTGAAGATTTCCACTCTGAGTCAGAAATTTTGGACACAGAGAGAAAAGGAGAGAAGAGAAAAAAAGAGGGCTTCAAACATTATTTTCTCGCATTTATTAAATATAAGCTTTTATCTCTAGTCACACCCTAACAAGATCTCAAGAACTCTGACACAATTGCACAGCAAGTGACCAAACAAAAGCACTTCCTCATGCTCCTCCAGTCATGGCCAGAAGCTGAGAACATCTTTCTACTTGTCTTTAATCCAACAAGGGAGAAAGATAACCAGCTCTAACAGCAAAGCCAATTTCACACGCTACTTGGCACCTCGGCACTCACAGCCCAGTTGTTCTCACAGTGATCTCTGCTGCTTGAGGAAAGGCAGCGTTTCTCGGAGTGAAAGCTTGACAGTGAGCCTCTGGCTTCTGCCTCAACATCACCCCGAGGCCTCTCTGGAGAGCCCGACTTCCTGCTCCCTGAAGCTTTTTCCCCCAAGCGCACCTCCTGGGTTCTCCCATCACCCCACCTCCTCAAACCAACCGAACCAGCCTTAAGCCAAACTTTTTGCCAGTGGCCATCAGAGTCTGTCCATGTTCCATACAAACCCACAGTGGCTTCACACCAACCTGATGTTGTCTGAGGATTTGCAAAACCGGGCAACCACAGCAAATCCCTGATATTTGATCTTTTCTGACCGCCCAAACAGTGGTTTCATCTGGTTCAAGCTAGTATTCTTACTCACCTACCAACACTCCCCCATGTGTCTATGGGGCCAGGAGCGTACCATGAAGTGAGAGACGGACAGAGAGCTGGTACATGTGGGACTTACTGTGAGTTCTTCTTGTGTGACTGTACAGTCTCTCTTACCCTCTCTGAACAGTGTTCGCTAAGACCCCCTTCCACCATCAGCATCCTAAGAGTCCCCAGGGCTCTGGCCATGTTCCTGTAGCCCTGGCACAGACTCGTACAGAGGCGAGGTGAATACATGGTGCTTTCTCAAATAAAGACCACACCACAAAACATCTAGAGAATTATACACTCAAAAATGAAAACCACTCTGGATATTAAGGTTTTAAAGCCAGTGTTATTTGTGTAGAACAAATACTTTTTACAAAACACATACATATTTTTTACTCATGTAAATGTTAGGTCTCTAAGAGCGTACTGTTCCAAACCTTTAATCAAAGGCCTTTCATGTAGAATGAATGTCCGCTCTTGATCATGGGATAACTTTACAGGCTGATCCCTTGGGCATTCTGGAGCGCTTGCTAGTATTTTTGCCATTATCCTTCCAGGTGTGCGTAAGGCTCTTGTGACTAGGTTTTACAAAAGATGGGATGGGAGACAGAATTGAAACGAATGCCTCAAGTCAGTACTACTAGTGCAGTCTGGCTTTCAGAATCTCCCGCTCTCTTACCATATTTAATTGTGAGAGTCGGCTTACCTAGATCAAGAACTCCTACCCATCCATTACCACAGCCTAATTTCGGGTAACAAGTCGTCAAAAGCAGGAGACTCAGCCAGTATCTTAAGAGCATGACACCTGTTATAATGTGATACCACAGCTAATTATCAAGCTTTGCTTAGTTGATGAGTTCTCTATAAGGAAGGGTGTCTAAAACGGTCAACAGATTTTTGACAAAAGCTTCAAGACCACACACCAAGGGGGGCAGGGGAGCTAAAACAACTGAAAGTTCATTTGGAAAAAAACAAACCTCAATCCTGACCTCATACCATATACGAAAATTAATTAGAAATGGATCAGAGACCTAAATGTAAGAACTAAAATTATTGAACTTCTAGAAGAAAATAAAGGCAAAAAATACCAATAATTGCCAAGGACAGACATAGGTAAAAACCAGTAGAACTCTGATGTTTATAGACAGGGGCTTCAGTCAATATGCATGTTGCCTGAAAAGACAGGTTTTTTGTTTGTCTGTTTGGGGGATCGTAGGGAAGGGTTTCTCAATTATTTTGCTGTGTGGAACTCTCCTCAAAATGGTCAGATAACCACAGGTTCAGTCTAATTCTGACAAGACTATCTAATATATCAGTCACAAGGGATCTCAATTAGGGCAGCAATCATATGTAATAGAACAGATCACCTGATAAGTACCTTCAGTATTTAAAAATCTATACCACAGTTAAAATTCTTATCACTAAAAATTATTACAGTCCCATAAACAGATCATACCAATTAATGGATTAAATCTTTTGCCAAGTACCTGCCTATGTATTAGAAGAAGGGGACACAGGGTCATCACAGTTAAGTGGGACAGACAGAGAATTAGAGGCAATGAGAATATACTAATTTAAGTGCAGGGGCAGGGAGCCTGAAAGATGGAGACACCGAACCCAAAGTAAGGGGTATCTTGGGGAGACTTCCTGTAGGCAGAGGAACAACACATACAAGGCTTAGAAGTGATAAAAAAGCACAATATGCACAGGAACTAAAAAGTAATTTTGCTAAAGCATACAGTCATAGCAGGAATGAGATGCATTTGGATTTTATCCCACAGATATTGGGAAAACCATTAAAGCCCTCTGAGGAGGGATGGTCTTGAGCACAGTGGCTGAGAGCCAGACTCCAGAGTTGCACACCTTGGGGTCTGCATCCCATCTCTGTTATTGACTGCCTGTGTCCCCTGGGCATGCTACTTCAATAAGATGGGACCAAAAATGGTATTTATCTCGCAGGGTATTGGGAGATCTCACTAAGTAAATAAAGGCACTATTATTTAGAAAATTACATGTTAGTTACCAGCATCATTACCGTCGCAACAGTCAGCACAGTCAATATCCACAGAGCGGTCCTGAAGGCTGTGCTTTCTCCATTTCAGGTGGGCTGAAAGCCCGTAAGGACGAAGTAAGACCCAAAGCAGACCACACTGGAAGGACCTGGCCACCTCTGGCCACAGAGCTGCCAGGAGAGCAGTGTCTGCTCTTATGGAGCTTTGGCTCCCCTTGTGCATATCCTGTCAGTCTTCCTGGGACAAGGACTAGGGAGCCCTGGAGGGTGAAGAGAGCACATGGGAGTCATGGAGCACACGTTCTCCAGGACTTCGGCATGGCCATCGAATCATCTGCCAGTCAAAGGAGAAACGCAGCCCCGAGGACAGTGCCCCGTACGCAGAGTCCTCTGCCCCAGTGTCTAGAGCCTTTGAGCGTCAGGAGCACACTCAACGGGAAGGGAAACTGAGGAAGCCAGCCCTCCCCAAGCACCTACGGAGACCAGGTTCTTGCAAAGCTCCTGCTCTCATTTCAGCCTACAGGGAAGAAGCATCCTGCAGTGGTTCAGAGGACACTCGGGGCAACATGGCCTCTGTCCAAAGTCCTGCCTCACCATCTAGCTTTGTGGCTTTCGGCAAGTGCCTTAACCTTTTTGTGCCTCAGTTTCCTCACCTGCAAACTACTCATAAACATGCCTCCTACGATTGTCTGGAGGATTAAATAAGGCAAATTACGCAGATTGCTTAGCTCAGAGGCTGGCCATTATATAAGCTCATCATCATCACGTGTACCCTTCCACTATTCTGTGTCATCTCTCTAGCGTCCTCTTATCAATTATCTATAAGGCACAGGGCCTAATGGGGTCAGGACACGGGGAAATTCTTTCAGCCTTTTATGCTTTCTGCAGTTATCCCTAACTGGGTATTCACCTATTAAATCACCTTCCTGATTAATGAACTGTATTCACTTCAAAGAGAATTTCATGAACAGAGCGATCCTGCAGCATTAAAAGGCTTTCCCTGAGCCATTTCCTGAACCTCACAAGACTTCTGGCATGTAAACTAGGCTCTTCTTCTGAATCCTGGAGCTTGTTCTCAAATGAGCTGCAACTGAGCGCTGCCTCTGCCAACCCTGGGATTTCTCAGTGCTTATCATTGGCAGCGCTGTTCATGTTGGGATGGCGGACGTGTTCCTATTTGCTCACTGGCTGCCAGAAACCAGCTGTGACACTTAACTGCTTTCTCCTTACCCCAGCTTTTCTCCTTTCTGACTCCATTCCCAAGGGTTAGGAATGTAGCTTCTGAAAAACGAATCACAGCCTTCCTAAAATGTCTGAGAAAGGTGTTCTGAGGTCCATATCTCACGCCTTTTTTTGATTCTGGGATTCTAAAGAGGCCGGGGGTCCATGCCTCAGCCCTTCTATCAGCACATCGACTCCTTGCTTTACATTTACTCTGTATTTCCCTCACACTGTCTCCAAACACTTAAAGCCCACACCCTTCAGAACCAGCACCCCACCCAATGTACTGAAATTGTACCTAGGCTCCAGTTAGAGAAGAGATTTTTTAAAAACTGGACTTTTACAATTGACTCCTAACTCGGATTTGTGGCCCTCATGAGAAAAGGCACAGGCCTCCCGCGTCATCCCTTTCTGCTAGGTCAGTTAAATATTTGGTTTTTATAGGCAAGAAGGCACACATCTGGGACTGACTCTTAACTTCTCGGATGAGCTGTCAAGGACGTCAGCACCAGAGCTGATCAATGACTTTCTCTTAATAAAGTGACTCTAGACGTTCTTATTTTGAACCAGCAAAAAAGCAACACTCACACACAAAAAAAGAGTCAAAATCAAGCACCACCGCTCACTGTGACTGTCATGTGATCATCTTGAGAACCTAAAAAAAAAAGTCTGTGGCACAAGACAAACGTTCTTCCACGTGCCGCCATCCCTCGGCATGTCCCCATCCAGCTTGCCTCCTGATGCTTCGCTCCCTTGGTTTCCACAGCTTCTAAAATTAACCTCTGAGCTCCTACCGCAGCCTTTGGAGGGCAGCCCTGGCACAGGCTACCAGAGGACATAAGCTGAGCGGCAGGGGATCCGACAATCCTTCCTCTTCCTAAAGTGGGTCTTTCCACCTGCTTCCTTGCAAGGATGCTGGGGAGGGGGCTGCAATAGGGGTGCTGACTTCCTGGATGCCCTTCTTCTCTGGGGGCTCGTGTGTCTGACACATATCCTAGTCTTAGGAAAGGTGCGGCATGTACTCACCCTCCAACCCCCCCCACCCCCGCCCCATCCCATTTTGTTTTGTTTAGTGTCTAGAGTTCCTCTCTGGGAACACTCCAAGCAAGGATTATATAAGCCTTTGAAGATGAGTAATGGTGATCTGACTTCTCCTGGCTTCATAATTCTTCCACTGGGGTTCCAGATGACTCACAGGGCTTGTCAAAGGGGACGGCAAAGCAGGTACTTAAGTAAGTAGACTCTAGAAGCTGGAGTTAGTCTACACAGCCATGGGTGGGGGGAGGATGGCTTTGGCTAGACGCAGAATCCAGAATTGAAGAGATAATGAGGCAGCAATGTCCTGCGCTAAACCTTCTGGAAGTAACGTCCGATAGAGCATGGGAGACGCCATGGCACTCCCTGCAGAATGCTCCGTGTGCTGCAAAACTGGCAAAGTCTGAAAAAGATAATGTCACCACTGGTGCTGCCGACAGGGGCGGGGTGGGGGAGGGGGCATGGAAACCATGACAAAATGTTGTGTAGCCTGAGGTGTCTGTTAGATGCACACCGCTGTCTCATTGAAAAGTAAGGCATCAGGCTGCAACGAGAGGCTGCGGGGATCCACAGGGCGCCCAGCTTAAGCCATCCGTGATGTGCTGAGCTCCACTGGAGCAGCGTGGGACTCCCCAAAGATCCAGGGGCTTGGCTGACTGGGCTTCTCACCAGCTTCTTGAGTCTTTTCTTTTGTACGACCTACTCAGCTCAGACCCTGGACTGCAAACCGGTCTGCCAGTCCCGCTAGCTTAGCAGATGCCAAGCAAGGGCAGGATGAGAGGAAAAGATCTAAGTGGCCGCTGTCTGGTGACCTGAAGTAGAGTGGCTACGAAGGGCGATGACAAAGGAAAAGCCTTTCAAGCCATCCGGGTCAGCCTCTTAAAGCTGCGAGTGACAGCGGCAGACAGACTAGGTTGGTGGCCCCTGTTCAAAGAGGAGCATCACACAGCCCAGGAGGTGAAAACTAGGGGCTATAAATAGTAGCACAGGAGAAGGTTCTATAAACAGAGCTGGGCCCCAGACCAGCCAGCGGGGAAATGCAGGCAGACTCTGCAGACAGGAGCCCACACGCCCCACGTGTGTGCAGTGGCAGGACCGAGCCTGAAGGATGCACGCACACATCCACATGGGGACACAAACAAACACCAGTAGATAGGCTGCTCACACCCCATCACCGTGGCTGGGTGTCTGCTGCCTTTGAATCTTTATGCTGAGGAATCCCCTCCCCCTTTTTCCAGGCCTTGGGCAAAACTGGCTGGGCAGAGGTGCTGGCGTCATCATCGTTCTATGTCTCTAATGCTTCTCCCTCCGGGAGGCAAGGTACTGTATCGAATCCAGGGTAAGAAACATGCGATGTAAAATGAAAATAAAGGGAGGGAAAGGGAGAGGGAAGCAGAGAGGAGCTCAATGAAAGCAGGCTGTTGGAGACACACACTTCCTGGTTATTAGGAGGCTGGAGGCGGCCCCCTGGCTTCTCCAGTGCACACAGAGCAAACACTTGACGCACGTTCACTTCCTTCCTATGGTTCTGCTCCAATCTTTAGGGGCTTTGCATCTGGCCCACTGACTGTTTTACCTTGACCTACAAAGGACTATACTATAGCTGGGGCCAGATGGAAAGGGGAATATAACGGTGGTGTCCCCACTCTCTCCCCAGTCTTTAAATTTACTTCTCTGCTGCTCCTGCCAATTGTATCTCCTTCCAAGACTTCTGTGGGCATCCCCACGCCTTCCTTCCAGGACCCAGGAAGCCCCCCTTTGGCGTGAGGCGAACACGAAGGCTGTGCTGGGTTTCTCGGAGTGGTAAGAGCGAGACAGGAAAGCCTTCTCAAAATGAGCCTACAGTTTCAACCTATGGAAAACGAGCTTTGAAAATTCAAATTCAGCATCTCAATGCAAATAAGACTAAGGATACCCTGAAAAAATAATTATTTACAGTTTGAGCATTATAGTGAGGGGGGAGGGGAGGAGTTGATTTAGTCATGAGAACATTAAAATCCATTAACTTGTCAACTAGTCGGGAAAACCCTTTTCCTTTTCTACCTGTGGTCAAGAATCCAGTAATAATGGACTTTTATGGAAGCTACTGAGGATCCGTTAATAACCAATCCCTTTGCTTTTCCTCTCTTAACTCCATTAGTCCAGTTCATCAGAAGCATTTGTTTAAACCAATGATCGCTGGGTGCTAAGGAAGGTGCTTGAATCTTACAGCTCTGATGAAATCAGTATGTTTTCTCCAAGATGAGTTACGCAACTTGATTTTAAGAAACCGTATGACTTGATTACAATCTTGTCTGTACTCTTCTTGCAATGTCACCTGAGAACAGTTTTTGTTTTTTTTTAAATATTCCTCTACAACGTCAAACATCATTTAAAAACCACACTACAGGTTAACTGCTAGTTATAGGACTGGGCCAGTTACACATCTGCTTAGCAGTGGTGTTTGCTTCTCGGAGGTGTGGGCAGCCTGAAATTTTAATTGCTGGCGATCTGACTTTAGCAAAGAGAGACTGAGAATCCTGTACCTTTAGGCGTAGGTTATGGCAGCCCCTGGCAGAGGGACAAGTCCCTCCTGAGAATGCTCAGCTGCATCTCTTGGGTCTCTTTTTAAAAAAGGAACAAGAAAGGAAGGAGTCAAATTTCCTAACGCTGTTGGAAGGTTCTGAGTATGACCAATGCAGGGCGAGGAAGGATGGTCTAGAACTCCACATCAGTCTACTATTAACAAAAGACAACCTGTTGTGAGTCTGAGGCTGGAAAGTTCTTCTGTGGGAAGCAGTACTGACTTCAAAAGTGGGGGGTTCTCCTTGCTTAGGAGGCTATGTGGCCCTCTGAGAGCTGGGGCCCCAACCGAGCTGAAGGACTGGCCACAAGAATGAGCCAGGTGGGCAGCGGCCCCTGGTGGGTGTCACGCCGGTGTCTGCGCTTCACGTCGCCATCTCCACAGCAGTGTGTTCCATCAGTAGGAGGCTGCAATGCAGCAATGTCTCGATGCCGAGGGGAGCAGACCCTGGTGGACCAGCTGGCTGTCTGCTCAACAGGGTTCTGGCTGGGAGTGGAATGTGGGCAGCAGAACTAGCCTCAAGCCAGGAGAAGGAGGGGACAGATATCTCCATGTAAGGTCATTTTCCATCACGTGCTAAGAAGACTTTTCTAAAACCATGGTAGTCTAGCTCCAGCCAAAAAACTCATCAGGCAGTGGACGGAAGAGAAGTTCAAAGAAGGAAGTGTTGTGTCAAGCTTGACACTGCTCAACGGTCAACAGAAGGTGAACACAGGTGCTTAGGTGCTTAGCTGTATTACAGCCCTGTCCTTTTCTCTACGGCAGCCTGGAAGGCTGGTGGGGGTGACACAGGGGGCATCACGGTGGTCCATTTCAAGGCTATTTCAAGCTTCTGCACAATACCCACCTCACTCCTCTCCTCTCTATCTGTCCAGTAGTAGGCTGCTATTAATGAGGTCCCAAAAGGGAAAGAAATTTCTTAAAATGGGCACTGCTCAGCTCAATGATTGTTAAGCTGGCCCCATGTAACTCACAGCAACAATGGCTGCAAGAGCAAAAAAAGGTGCCTCCACTGGGACTCGTTATAGGGTCTGCTTCCCTTCCCCCAAGTCTTAAGCCCTGAAATTGTATTAGAACTTTGTCATCTTGGAAACACACCTAAGTGTTCATTCATACATATGCATGGCTGCATGTTTATAAGCATATGCATGTAATCATGCACTTAGGCAGTTTTAAAGTGACTCTACAAGGGAAGTTCTACTTGAGTATTAGTTCTTCCTACGGCCTGGTATATAAATGAGAAAGTTAGGTTCACAAACTATGGTGCTGAAGGCTATAGAAATATCTACTCACAACCTGCTTGTATCTCAGGGGGAGTATTCAAAAGCATCATGGCACTGGCAGCATCAATGTCAGGATCTGGAAAAATCAACCAATAAATAACATTATTTACAACGGGGCCGGTGTGTGTAAGTGTGTTTTTCCCCCTGCACGTTACAGCTTATGAATGCAACAGAGAAGAAAAAAAAAAAATCCAAAAACTAGATGAGTTACCCCAAAGGTGATTTTCTTCCCATTTGCATTTGAGAGGAAGAAAGGTATTTTAGAATGAGATTTAAGGGGGGAAGATTTGTAAGTTTTTCCAGACAAAGCATGGTCTCTTCTCATTTTGCTAATTTTGGAATTTGTATGTTCCTTGATAACTTGCTGACCTGTACACCCCCACAGCTTGCTCCTTTGGGGCGGAGGCACAGGAGAGTGGAGTGACAGTAGGCAATTCAGCCACGGGAATCTTTAATGAACTGGGGACACTCACAGCACCAAGCAGAGAAAGCATTAAATACACCTGCATCTAGTGAGATTACAAACAAGACATTTGGTCATTTCCACTTGTCAGCAGAATGCAAACTGTATTTTACGAGGTTGTGTGTGCGCACAGTGGTGGTGGAGGCGGAGAGGGCATTAAAACACACACACTTAAAACATATTTTAAAAAATGAAGTTATTAATGTGGAGGGCATGTTGGCGTCCACATCTATTATTGCTTTTAAGATGGGACCCCAAAAAAAAAAAAAAACAACCAAAACACTCATCACTTCATTGCTGCAATTCTTAATAGGTTTCTGAATCCTTACTGATCCACCGGTTGACAGATGGCAGGTTATATCCAGACAGAGAAAAATATTATCCTTTTATAACTAAATTCATTTTCCTCTGAGAAACAGCAGCGCTGCTGCTATGGAAATGAAAGTCACCATGGCAACAGTAAACAACCCCCAAGAATGGTCACTGAATAGGCTGAAAAGAACATCTGCCCCAACGTGGCGTCCCAGCTGCCCTGGGGCGAAATTCACTAACAGTGCGACCATGCCGCGTGACAGCAGCCGCTGCCTGTGCCCTGTCCAAATAAATGAAGTGTGCAATTGAAGGCGACATCAAAATGCCTGTCCTTGCAGATTACTGCTTCTGCGTCCACTAAACCCAATGACTAATAATGGGGGGGGGGAGCAGGGGGGCTCACACTTGTCAGTTTTGTACAAATTACACACCCAAAAATTCAGTTTACTACTAATGGCTCCATGGCACTTTATTTTGGGTATTATGCTAGAAAATGACTTTTTTACTGTTTAAAAAAGTGCATTTTTCATACTTTATACGTGCAGTTTAATTCCAAGGGAGTCGTGGGAAGCACCAGAAAGCCCCACCAGCGATTAATAATCTAGATGAGGCTGGTTTGAGAAGACAATGTCTCCAAAAAGAAAAAAAGGAAAAGAACTTTACTCTGCAAGCCTTTTCTATTTCACCTGCAGGAAGCCCATTATTTACACCCCATAATGGAGTGAAGTTTATTTTAGTAAGTAAGTACACTGTATAAGAAACAGGGAAATTAACTTATTTGGCAATTCCCGGGGTGTAATTCCTAAAACAGTCATCACTCCCCACTGATATTAATATATATATATATATACATATATATATATATATATATATATGCGCGCTAGTTGAAGGGTGAACTGAAAAACTGAACAGTCCATTCATTCACTGCTCCCAGGGTTCCCGCTGTCCCTGACCCCTTGTCTCCCCACAGGGCCTGGTGCCAACACACAGAATTTGCCGTTTCAAGGTGGTTCTGGCCCCCCCATAAGCCACAGTGTGCAGGGAGCTTCTAGAAGGTGCTGGGCGGTGCTGAGGCCTTCCTCTCCTACTCCATCTTTGTTTGGAAAGGGCCCTTTCCTGCCTCAGGGCTGAGATAACGCGCCAGTTTTGCTTTTCACCAAGTAAAGGTTCTTTGCCATCTCTGAGGGTGCAAAGGCTGCAGGCATGGCTGGATGGTCCCCGGTTCCCCAGGCGACTTTTACCCGGAGTTTTCCTGAACCACCAGGAGGTTCAATGGGGACAGTGCAAGAGAAAATACAGGTAAGAAGTCAGGAGTCTTTTCCTATTTATTTTGTGGGAAAATGAAAAAGTAGTTCCGTACTCTTCAAAAACACAATGGACCTCAGGAGGAAAGCATAAAGGGCCACAAATAGAAAGATACAATGAAATAAATGAGGAAGAAGGGAGAAAGAGACCTTAAAGGAAAAGAATATAATTAACAGTCACATGAATTTCGCAGAGCCTCAGGGGCAGCTTGAGCAATGCTTCAGACCCACACAACATCCTCTCATGACCCCCCACCCTGACCCCAGCCAAGCCAAATAAACAGATAATTTAAGAAAAAATGCTGCTTTACGACAAGTCCCCCAATGCTTCCTTTCATCCAGATTTGCCACGCCTTTGGCCTCCACAGATAAAAATTCTGATGCTGCCTTGGGCATTCCTGATGGCCTCCAGGCACCTGGGGGCAACCCCCAGCCTTCGCATCTCATTCACAATCAGTTCCCACAGCCCACTCTCCACTCGGAATGGGTCAGTTCCTGGGTGGCCCACGCGGGAACATGAAGCCCTATGGGTAGGATGGACTGGAGGGCCAAGCATAGGATGTCCCCTCTTGCCATCTTGGCAGGCGGACTGACAAACATAAGAACTTACACGCAAACGGTACGAGAAAACACAATTATGTCCTTATGCACGTGTGAGCACAGTGACTCCACAGTAAAGGCAGACCTTCCACAGGGGGCTACGGTGAGCGCCAACCCTGGTGTACAGCGTGTGAGTTCTGACAAACGGCGCCACCTTAACCAAGATACAGATTTCCATCACCCCAAAGTTTCCTTGTGCCTCTTCCTGGCAGTCATTCCCACCCTTGCCCTGGGCAACTACTGATTGGTGTTGTTCCTCATCCATGACGTGGTCAATGGTGATTCCTTACATGGGACTGCAACATAAGGAATACGCATACTATTACTTGTGGCTGCTGTTATTGGGTGGTAGTCCATTGGATGGATACACTACAATTTATATATCCATCTGGAAATGAACACTTGGATTGCTTCTGCCTTTGGATTTTATAAAAAAGCTGCTATGAACTTCTGTATCAATCGTTGGTGGACATGTTTTCACTTGCCTTGAGTACTTGCTAGTAAGTTTTACTTTATAGGAGATTGACAAACTCTTTTTTCTAAGAGGCTGTATCATGTATGAGAGTTCCAGGTCCTCCACATTTTTGTTTAAAGATTTTATTGGGGAGTTGGGGGAGGGGTAAAGCATTGGGGAATTGGGGAAGGGAACAGACAAGTTGCTGTCCTTCTGTTCTTCAGTCTAGTTGTGGAGGACGTCGCTTCACAGGCCCATATTGGTATCATCATTGCGTTCTTCCCGGGTGAGGCAGTAGCTCGCCAGCCATTGGATGGCCACTCACGAAAGCTCACACCTGCTGCCGGCCAGCCCCACTGCAGCCTACACCGTCGCCTCACAGCAGCCCAGCTCCAGATCAAGCTGTTGTTCTCCATCTTAGCTGTAGGGGGCGCAGTATCACTGGCCCTCATGTAGGATCCAAACTGGGGCCCTGCTGCTCAGAGCTGGTGTCCCAAGCCAGCTCCTAACCAACACGCCACTCGGCTGGCCCAGATGCTCCACGTTTTTGTCAACACTTGAAATGGTCAATCTTTTAAGATTTAGCCATCCTACTAGACGTGTAGTGGTACTTTGCCTTAGTTTTATTGGGTTGTTGGAAAAGTCATGATGTATTTTTTCTATGTTTTTCGTTGCAAAAATGCGTCATGACTTTTCTGACAACCCAATAGTTTGCATTTCCTAATGACAAGTGATGTTGAGTACCTTTTCATGTGCTTAACAGCCATTTATTTATCTTCTTTTGTGAAAAGTTTGTTCAAGTTTGTGCCCGTTTTTTTTAAATTGGGTTGTTCAACTTGTTACTATTGGGTTGTAAGGTTTCTTTAAACATTCCAAATAGAAGTACTCTGTGAGATATATTTTTTCTCAGCCCATGGCTTGTCTATGCAGTATCTTAATAGTATCTTTTTAATAAGCAGAAGTTTGAACTTTTTTGAAGTCCAATTTATCAATTTCTTTTGTAATTCAATGCTTTTTAAATGTGTCCTAAGTAATCTGCTACCCCACAAAGCTGCAAAGGTATTTTTTTATTCTCATTTGTTAGTACATCAAACATAATGTTATCAGTGTTCAATACCTAGATTTACAAGTAAATGAAAATGGAAGGAGCCTACCAGAGTTCTTCCTTTATCCAGTAAGCTGGCTAAGCAAAGAACTCTTAGAATTGTAGAGATCAACACCAGAAGGACCCTCAGTGGCTCCAGGTGTGCTGTGGGAACACCAGGTAGCCTGAGACAAGCCTTAGCCACATTTCTATGGGAAAAACGTCTCTTAGACCCTCTGCTGAGCATCTGACATGTCTTTATGCTCGCCACACCCTGACATCCTGTGTCTGCATCAGTCTTCAGAGCCAACAACCTCTCATCTCTCCTCTCCAAAGAGATGCTACCATGCTTATTCTTATCTATTATTAAAATGTCTAAGTTTGTTCCCTTTAAAAAAAATCATGAAAGCAATATGTTTTCACAGTAAAGATATACACACTAGGTGGAGATCCTTTGAGAAATAAATGCCTTCCCCACAGACCCACTCCCAGATTCACGTTTTCTTTATATATGTCCAGAAACTGTCTTTATACATACAGGCATTTATGTATACTCATTGAAACACCAACACACATATATTTACACTCATGCACACGTTACCTGTTCTTTGAAATGGGTTTACATGGAAAATAGTTTTCTGAAACAACTTTTTTCCTTATTTGTCATTTAATGACATATCTTGCTACCCTTTCACCTTAGTATACATGGTCTGAAGTTTCTCTGTGGTGACTTTTTTGTGCATGAAAACACACCACACGGTTCGTACTGACATTCTCTTTCCTTTAGACTACAGACGACTGGAAGGCAGAAAACAAAGCATGTGTAGCCTGCACCAACGCCCAGCACACTGCTTCTCCC